GGTGTATAGAAGGCAAGGATTACACGCACACATTTGCTAAGGGACTTGAGTTAGTTTTCATTAAAAGGACTACTGGAAACAGCATGGAGGATTTTGACATAGAACAGGGCAATGGTTATGATGTCAAACACTAGGTTCCAAATCACACATAAGCCATAGATAATACTAATCTTGATATTGGCATGAGAGTCAAGCAAGGCCCTGTGTGCACAGTAGCTATGGAGAATGACATGATTCCCACAGAAAGGCAACTTCAAAATCAGAAATACAAATGGAGTGCTAAATATAAATGTCCTCACTGATATAGCAAGACCAATTAGAGAACTAACCTTATTGGTAATAATGATGCTGTAACAAAGTGGATTGCAGATGCCCACATAGCGGTCATAAGCCATTGCAAAAGGACTGCTGATTCCACATGTGAATCTGTGAATGAAAAACATCTGGGTAAGGAAGGCTTTGGAAAAGATCAATGTGAGGTTGTACCAGAAGATCCCAAGCATCTTAGTGATGATAGCTATGGAGAGATCCAAGCCAATGGTAGCTTATGTAACCAGCAAGTAAAATATTGATCATTATAGACTGCTCTCAGACTGAAATACATAGTGAATAGTAAATTTTCCAGAGTGTATCATGTACACAGTACCAAAAGGAATGCCAGTCCAGATGTGGGGTATTACCAGTCCTGAGATTCCCAGAAACAAGGAGGTAGGGTGGACCTGAGTGTCATTGAGAAAGGACACCGTGCTTGGAAATCTGTAAGTTCCCTTACAAATTTTGGGATTAATAATTCTTATACAACCATAAAAATGTTTTCCCTATTTTCTTTTTTAATAATGTAGGAGTACTGCTATTTGTTCAGCCACTGAATAAACTGATTGAAATGGGCATGAACTTCACATTACTTTTTATTATATTGTGTCACTGTGAGATAGAATTACAATGATTTCATGTTTGAGATTCAGCCGTATAATGATGGAACACCTATCCCTCCACCAGTGCACACTCTCCACCACCGATGTCCCCAGTATCTCCTGCCCCACATGCCAGTCCTCACCTTGCCTCTATGGGAGACAATCTCCCCAGTACTCTCTCTCTAATTTGGGGCATTATATTTTTCTCCAATTTTCCCATCACCGTTCAAGCCTACCTGCCAAGGGCAGATGCAAAATAATTTATTTTACATTGATCATTTTGAGTATCATGAGAACTCTTGTGCCGTGACTATAAATATAAATTTCTAGATTGTAAATGGTTAGGTTCCAGAGACATCTCTGTATGACACTAATCCATCTTGGGGATTCAATTGGGAATCTCTGGGACAGGGCTGTTGGTGCGCTAGGATGGCACCCAGAGACAAATTGTGGGGGTGACAGCCAGTCTCTGGGCAGGCAGGGACCTGGGGAGGGACAGCCCAGAATCTCTGCCACAAGTGGCCTGGAGATTTAGTCCTGAAGCCACACACCTGTGTCTTGCTTGTGGAAGCTCTTGTTCATTAGGGTTCCATCTGGAATAGTTGGGGAGACTGCACCTGCTCCATCTGAGGTACCCTGTTGATATTGGCTCGGTATGGGACCCGGAATGATCCCTGACACTGTGGTGTCTTCCGCGACTTGCCTTTGTGTCTCAGAGACAGGGCTGTTGGTGCGCTCAGATTCACATTATAACATTTTAAGCAGATTATAACTTGGTGAGATCCATCCTAGAGACAGTGGAGTCAGGCTGGGGATACGGAGGCGATTTTGTATTGTGGCAGCAAGTGGCTTCCAGGAACTCTGCTTGGGTGGGCACAGGCCAATCTGCCCCCTCCAATGTACTTCGGTCTGTTCAGCCATGTGTGGGTTTTAGCTAAACTGCAGCTTTTGATCTCTCTCAAAATTTATTTAGGGGTGTCTGAAGCAAGGTCTTATTCATTCGCCAATGTGGTTTGGTACATGCCTCAGGAAGCCACAAGCGAACATCCGAGCTCCAAAGCAGTGCAGACATGCGATAAAGGAAGACTTCAAAGAAAGAGGAGCAGAAGTGCTGGTAGATGCAGCAGAAGCCGGGAAAGGCATTCATAACGCCCGCCTGTCATTCGCCAACTACAAGACCAAGATGACTGCCATCTGATGTCCCGATGGATCTATCGCATCTTCCAGAAGGGCAATGGAGAAGATTATCCATGACTTCTACTCAGATCTCTTCGATAGCCAGGTCGACCTGCCCACAAACCAAATTCTGCAGGATAAATATATTGTTCCCAATGTTCTCCCTTCCGAAATCCGACATGCCATTTCGTTGGTAAAGAAACGAACAGCACCCAGCCCAGAAAATGTCAGAACTGAACACCTGTAGAACCTGCCATCACTACTCATCAGTACACTGGCTCGGCTCTTCACACGCTACCTGTCTGAATGCAAGGTTCCGTCCTCATGGAAAACCAGCAGGACTGTACTACTGTACAAGAAGGGAGACATCCATGACATTGGTAAATATCACCCAATCTGCCTATAGTCTGTCATCTGCAAGCTGTTCACTCCAGTCATCCTGAATAGGTTTGGCGGAACACTAGATGAAGGACAACCATGCGAGCAAACCGGGTTCCGCAAAGGATTCAGCACCATTGACCATATCCACACGATAACCAACCAATTGAGATTTCTCGGGAGTTCAAGACGCCGCTCTGTCTAACATTCATTGATTTAAAGAAGGCCTTTGATTCTGTTGAGATGAAAGTAGTCATTGAAGCCCTAGCCAATCAGGGCATTCAAACTCAATACATTAGGATCCTCCCCGAGCTCTATTACGAATTCATTACCAGGATCTCACCATTCTACAAAGAAGTGATCATCGATGTCAAAAGAGGGGTTCAGCAGGGTAATACTATTTCACCGAAACTCTTCAGTGCCACCCTCGAGAACATCATGCGACTACTGGAATGGGAAGGAATGGGAGTGAAGATAGATGGTCAGTAAATACGCCACCTCTGCTTCGCTGATGACATTGTTCTAATAACACTAAACATCAGCCAAGCAGTACAAATGCTGGCTGACCTCGACCGTGAGTGTGGAAAGGTAAGACTACAGCTGAATCTCACGAAGACAATGTTTATGAAAAACAGCCTCATTCCTGATGCTCCATTCACTCTCAATGGAACGTCCATCTCCGAATGCAACAGTTTTGTGTTCTTAGGTCGAGAAATCAACATGACAAATGACCTGGCACCTGAGTTGCTCAGGAGGAAGAGAATGGCTTGGAATGCCTTCAAGAGTGTTGAAGAAATAGCTAAGAGGACAAAGGTCCCATGACTTCGGGCACATCTCTTTGATTCCACTGTTCTTCCTGCATTAACATATGCCTCAGAGACCTGGGCCCTACGAAAACAGGATGAGACCACTATTCGCGTCTCCCAAAGAGAAATTGAAAGAGCTATGCTTGGAGTATGATGTTTCACTCAAATGAGAGAAAGAATCCAGAGTTCCAACCTCCATTGAAAGTCAAGAATCAGGGACTTGGTCTCTTTTGCCAAGACCTCGAAAAACAGATGGGCTGGACACGTTATGAGATTTGGAGACGGCTGCTGGATTAGATCCGTTACCACTGGATTCCTCGGTATGTCAAAACACCGCATGCCGCCCAACTACCAGATGGTAAGACTTCTTCATCAAGACCCTGAACAGATGGTTTGAAGCTCTTCGTGTTCCTAGAACGAACAGACACCATTGGGCTACAATAGCACACAACAGGCACAAATGGAGACATTACTGGTGCCCTCTCAAGCAAATCGATGATTAATGGGAAGTCAAGTGATCAAATGATCAAGTGATCAAGTGAAGCAAGGCCAGTAGTAGAGCTTACAGGGTGATTCTGGAGTTGGTTCGTGCTGGTGACTTCCATTTGTATTGGGAAATGAGAGGAGGTAACCCATCCCAACTCTGAGAAAACCATGAGTTTGTATAACAGAGCCAGTGGTGGTTTTGTTGGTGTGGCTCCCACATACTTAACTTTTGGCTGATAAATTTCTTGGTAAACTTGGTCCCAAGTTGTTGGAGTCTGGTCAAAGGCATAGTGGCAAATTTGGGGGATCATGAAGCCTGAAGCCAGCATCAGGCTGTGATGCAATCACCCCGCAGGTATAGGTTGAACTGTTGGCAGCACCATACCTTCATTTTCCCTATTTTCATGATACCCACATACAATGTACTTTAAGTAAACAAGAAAATTATTTTAGCTAGCAGGTAAGATGATCACAATTAAAAAGTAAAAGTAAACTACAGTTCTGATTTTCTGTTAAAGAAAAGAAAGTTTACATATGTTTAAGAGTTGAAAAACCTAGCCCCCAAAAGGACAGAGATAGTAAGAAGGAATGTGCTTGCCAGAGAGGCAGGAGATGGGAAGGGTTGGGGGTCGGGTCAGGGATACTGGGAAGATTGTTGGTGGAGAATGGGCACTAGTGGAGGGATGGGGACTGAAATGTTCAGTGTTTGACTGAAATGCAATCATGATAGTTCCTAAGTCTGTAACTGTATCTAACCGTGATGCATTAAAATAAAAATAATAATTTAAAACAAATATAGAATAAAAATTAGTTGAAATGATGGGAAAATTAACCTCCCAACTCAATTATATTCTGTAATGACATCAGTAGTTAATTATGTAGAGAAGCAATAAATTAACCAAGTAGAAGACAGGTGTATAATAATGAAAATTTGTCTCTGTTATATCATTATCATTTAGTAAACTGACAGTAACTACCTAGAGTAATTGATGTCCATTAGTATTCTTATGATCACTATACAATAAATGAAGTGTATTATATACCTGAAATTCCGACCGTGATTTGGGGTCCAGCTGCAGCAGCGGGTGACTGGCTCGGGCCTTGTAGGACTAGTGGTGCCAGGATTTGGGCACCTCTCCAAAGTGCATGGTAGGCTAGAGAAGAGGACAGAGGATCCATAGGCACCCGAGATTGTGATATGGACGTCATTCAGGACAGTTAGAGATCACTGAGCTTAAGACTGCTACAAAGATGTTTGATATCAAGTCTTGGGCTAAGTATGTCCTGGAATGGGCTGCAAAGGATCCTTATGACTTTCTTACAACAGTTATTTTGGTCCATGCTCCACTGTTTTTAGCAAGTGCAGTATTGTCTTGGAAATTGGCCAAAATGATTGAGGCTAAGGAAAAGGAGCAGAAAAACAAACAAAAATGGCAAGAAAATATTGCAAAAGCTAAAAGACTGAAAAAAAATATTGAAGGAATATACTGATTCTATAGCCAGATGAAAATCACTTGGAAAATTATGCAGTTTTGGAAGGACCTACTGATGCTTCTTTCCTGGATTTTATGACGCTATTATATAGTAAGTGAAATCTGAGCATATGGAAGATCATTGTGTTCTGACCTCCTTTCTGTAGCAATTTTTAGGTTTCCTGTAGAAGTCATTGTAAATATGCATTTGTTATGCCTACAGTTTCTTCATAATTGCCTAGTCATCTGCCATTTCGTAGCTTCTGTACTGACATGAAAACATCCAGCTGATAAAAATGACTTTAGATTATGAACAATATTCAAAGAATGGCTTTAAATGAGTTCCTGTTCTGGACAAAGGAAACTCATGTGAAAAATCAGAGCAGGTCTGAGATTAAAGTATGCTAGAACTAAAAACAGAGACAGGTTATTATAGCTTTATCATGCTTGCTTGTTTCTTTGAATAGAATAATTTCTGGCTTTTGAAAAGTAAATATTAATCATTGAGTATTTATATGTTTTTATTTTTCTCTGAGATACTAGTAATTATCAGACATGAAAAGTATTTTAAATCTAATTTTATAAAGAATTTTCTTATTATCTTGACCATATAGAATACCATCTACTGGACATAATAATTTTACTACTTAAAAGCAGTGCCAAGGGGGTATGGTGCTGCCCGCAGGTCAATCTGTACCTGTGAGGCGAGTGCATCAGCAGCCTGATGGCACAATCAGGCTTTCATATACCTCAAAATTGCTGCTTTGCCTTTGGCCTGACCCCAAAAACTTGGGGCAAAGTTTCTAAGAAAGTAAACGGCCAAAGTTGGGTATGTGGAAGACATACCAACAAACCACCTCCAGCTCAGCTATATAATTGGAGGCATGGCCTCTCTGGTTCCTGATCGAACTCCCTAAAGGCCATGATCCCAGAAACTCAGAAACAAATCTCAGAACCCAAAGGATTTTGGGAGAAATGAATCTTGTTCCTGCAGTAGGTTACTGGCGCTGGGCCACTCCAGGTGGGAATTGGTTTTGTTCCCCTTGGTGGCCCGGTGACCACCATCCTCCAGAGGCCACTGGACAGTCACGTTTGGGCCTGCAGTGACGAGACATGCGGGGCCTCGCCAGATGGGGGTGGAACCGGTCCTTTCCTCCCCATCCCAACGAGACCCCAAGTCGCCGCCTACACACCTCTCTGGCCTACAAACCTCTCTGGCTCCTGATCAAGCTAATTAACGGACATGATCCCAGAGACTCAGAAACAAATCTCAAAACCCAGAGGCTTTTGGCAGAAATGCATCTGAACCGCATACAAGGTGGCTGCCGCCTCAGAACTTATTGGAAAGCCAGGCATGAGCCGATGGTGATGAGGCAACTGCAGACTCATGGGAAGAGGGGTGGTACTGACATGTCTTCATGCCCTACCGAGATCACGAGTGGCCCCCCACGAGCGGCTCTCCAGCATAGCCATAACACCAGATGCACAGAAAGCAATCTTGTAATTATCTGGCTCTTTAAAGAAATCCAAAATTGTGAGACCGCTATTGCGGCCACACGAGATTATATGTTTCTCATAACCAGCTACAGAAAGCAAAGTTTTTCACAATGCCTTTTCCGCCATTCTAATTGTTACGGGGGGAAATTCTAAACAATAATGGTGCATCATTTGTAGAAATAATGAATATAATCAATGTAGAGAAGAGTTAATTTGAAATCATCTGCCTCACAGGCATTGGGAGGATTGGAAGGGGCCATATATTCAGGTTCTTGGTGGTGAAAGATGAGTACTGGTGAAGGGAGAGGTGTTTGATCATTGTATAACCAAGACTTAAACCTGAAAACTTGGTAATTTTTCCCAAAGTGATTCAATAAATAAATATAAGAAGAAAAATAAATAAATGACAGTATGAAAAAAAGAAGTAAGATGGAGTTCATGCCCAATTCAATCAGCTAATCGGTGACTGAATAAGTAGTAGTACTCCAACATAAAAAAAAAAGAAAGAAAATAAGAAGGGTGTGCTCCTGGAATTCTAAAATTTTATATAATTAGAGTCTGGAGAAATCTTTGCAGCGAGCTGCTCGGTTCAGAGATTCTTTTGTGTGTCTATGGTCATGGCCCTGGTTTCCATCTTTTCCAGAGAAATAAACTATTAGCATATGCCCTGCAGGGCCTGCCACCTTACCCACAAGGTGCCATGCCTCCTGCCTTAACTGTATCTTTTGATCTCTTTCGAGATTTATGTCTCTGAAATAAAGTCAATAAATGAGCTTGTAAAAAAAACAGCACTACCATTTTCTTCGAGATGACTTTATTGGGTAGAGTAATATTATGAATTCAAGCTTTCAGGAAAGGGCTTGAGATGTACCTCATTGGATTTAAAATGTATTAACAAATTAACACTGTAGCACTGTCCTCCCATTGTGTATCGATTTGCTCCAGTGGGCAACAGTAAAGTCTCCATTGTAAGACTTGTTGTTACTGTTTTTGGCATTTCAAGTATGCCACAGGGAGCTTGTCAGGCCCTACCATGGGGGCGGGACACTCTCGGTAGCTTGCTGGGCTCTCCTAGGTGGACGGAGAAATTGAACCTGGGTCAGCAGCATGCAAGGCAAATGTCCTACCCGTTGTGCTTTTATTATTATATGCTTAACAGATTATTGGATAATTTGCTAATTGCATAGTACTTCTTGTTTTTAATATCATTTATTGATATAACTCATAGTGGTGATGCCCTTTATTCTTTTTTTAATAGGTTCATGGAGTGTACATTTTTAAAATTTACATTTATTTTAAAGAATACTTAAAGAATAACAAGTTATTAATTCATAAGTGGCAACGTTGGAAATATTTTGCTGTGCTGAAACAATTCTTGGGTGAAAAGCTAAATTATGTCAAAGAATAAAGAGCTAAAGGATATATCCTTCTCCCCCCAAGAATATGATCATCTAATCTTTTATAAGGGGGCAAGAAAAGTGAAGTGGAGAAAGGAAAGCCTCTTTAACAAACTGTGCTGGCAAAACTGGATGGTTACATGCAAAAAGTGGGCTCAGATCTCTGCCTAACAGTCTGTACAAAAGTGAGCTCAAATGGATTAAAGACCTCAACATCAGACTGGAATCCATAAGGTACATTGAAGACAAAGTTGGCAAACCCCACCATGACATTGAAGCTAATGGTATTTTCAAAGATGTCACACCACTGGCCAAGCAAGTGAAAACAGATAGACAAATGGGACTGTCTTAAACTAAGAAGTTTCTTCACCTCAAAAGATGTAGTGACAAAAATACAAATACAGTCTACAGAATGGGAAAGAATATTCACCAAATACAGACCTGACAAGGGGTTGATATCAAGGATATACAAATTACTGGTGGAACTGCCCAAGAAGAAAACATACAACCCTATCAAAAAATGGGGCGAGAAAATGAACAGAAACTTTCACAAAGAAGAAATCCAAATGGCTAAAAAGCACATGAGAAAATGCTCTACATCATTAATCACAAGGGAGACGCATATCAAAACAACAATGAGATATCATTTCACACCACAGAGACTGGTCGACATCCAAAAGAACAAAAGCAATCGTGGTTGGCGTGGATGTGATGAGAAAGGGACCCTCCTTCACTGCTGGTGGGAATGCCGACTGGTTCAGCCCTTTTGGAAAACAGTATGGACGATTCTCAAAAAATTAGAAATTGAGCTCGCGTTTGACCCAGCAATACCATTCCTGGGAATATATCCCAGAGAGGCAAAAAAAAATGTAGTTGAAGTGACATCTGCAATTGTTTGTTCATTGCAGCACTCTTTACAATAGCCAGAATCTGGAAAAAAGCTGAGTGCCTGAGAACAGATGACTACTTAAAGAAACTTTGGTACATCTACACAGTGGAGTACTATGTAGCTGTTAGAAAGGATGAAGTCATGAAATTTACATACAAGTGGTACTACATGGAAAGTATCATGCTAAGTGAAATGAGTCAGAAAGAGAGGGACAGACATAGAAAGTTCCATTTATCTGGGGAACATAAAGTAGCAAAATAGGAGACTAACACCCAAGAATATCTGATATAAATACCAGGAGGTTTATTCCATGGCTTGGAGGCCAGCCTCACACTCTAGGGGTAAAGGCAGCTAAGATAGAGAAGGGAGTGCCAAATAAATGGTGTTGGAAAGATTCGCCCAGGATGGGAGATACATTCAGAAAGTAGACTATAGACTGAATATGATTTCCACTCAATTCCTCTTTTGCAAACCACAGCACCCAAAAGGAGAGAGAGAACAAAAGCGAGTGTCCTGCCACAGAGGCAGGGTAGGATGGGGGGATGGGGAGTGGGAGAGATACTGGGAACATTGGTGGTGGAGTATGGGCACTGGTGGAAGGATGGGTACTTGATCATTTTATAACTGAAACCCATGCACAAAAATTTGGAAGTCTACAACTATACCTCATTGTGTTTCACTAATAAAAATATAAAAAAATAAAATAAAATAAAATAATGATCGATCACCCAACTATAGCACTGTAGCACTGTACTCCCATTGTTCATTGATTTGCTCAAGCAGGCCCAGAACCGTCTCCATTGTGAGACTTGTTACTGTGTTGGGCATATTGAATACGTCATGTGTAGCTTACCAGGCTTTGCCGTGCACGTGCGATACTCTTGGTAGTTAGCCAGGCTCTTCAAGAGCATTGGAGGAAACCCAAAAAACAAAATGATAAAATTAAAAAAAATATATTGAGTACAGAAATATCTTTGAAGAAATAATATGAAGATGTTTTCAAATTTACAAAAAGATACAGCTTCAGGTATTTATATATTTATGTGTACTGTTAGTAGATAAACATAGCATTTGTAGATACATACCTATATTTTTGAATTTCTCTGCAATAGTTTTATTTGTTTATAAGATACAGTGATATTTAATTGATGTTATCAATGTAAGTGTAATGAGCATAGATGAAAGTGGCTCTTTCCCATATTTTCCTTGAAATATGAGAGACAGTGTACCCCAAACACATGAAACATATATGAAAGACATATATCTATTCCTAAAAATTTTAATTGAGTTAAATTAAATAAAAGGTAAAGGTAAAGGCCCTCCCGTTGATTGTCGATTTGCTCGAGCGGGCCCAGTAACGTCTCCATTGGAGACTTTGTTGTTACTGTGTCTGGCATATCGAATACTCTCGGTAGCTTGCCGGGCTCTCCAAGAGGGGCGGAGGAATCGAACTCGGGTCGGCCATGTTGGCCGCGTGTAAGGCGAACGCCCTACCCAATGTGCTATCGTTCCAGCCCTTACAAATATGCTCTTTATAAGAATAAATAAGCACTCAAGGCGTTCTGTGCAGGAGACTCCAGAGACATTTGAGTAAGACACTCCTTTCCTCTCCCCTCTCCAGGATTT